TTTTTTTTTTCAAGTCTCGATGATGTGTCAAAAGAATTATAAGAAGCTAGCAATGTTCAAAAAAGTTACTTTCGAATGTATTGTCCCGTTTAGACTGTTAAAGACAGGACACACCACTTCGAAACTTCGATCTTGAAAGTTCTTTCGATACGTAGGAAGCAAAGACCGACAGCTTTAAAAGGATCAACACAGAAAACGGTTGATCGAGTTTGAAAGAAAAGCGAAAACGAGGTAACAATGAAGGCGTAAATCTTCCGATCAGACAAAATTTTGTCGTGGACAAATGGAAATTCAATTTTACTTAAATCGTACAATCGAACGATAAATCCCTGAATTTAATAGAAGGAAGAATTTAGAGCGGACGCGTGACAATTTCGATTTTGATAGCGATATTTTAATTCTTTGCTGCTGTGACAACACGTGATTTTTATTTCTAAAAATTGAATTCGATAAATAGAACAATATCGTACATATACAATACGTGTGTTGAAACTTTTATCAATCTAAACGCATATCGCTTACAATCATTGATCAACGTCCTTTATTTTATCTTGTATTCGAACTACTGATGCCTGACCAAACGTAAGCTGTTACTACTTATATTCTCTCTATTACTATTATACTAATAACTTTTTTTTTTAATATTTTATTCCTTTTAATAATATATCATATTTTATTATATATGGAAAAATTTGATCGACTTCTCTTTTTTGTAAACAATTCTTAATAGAATAATTTAACTTTTCAAAAACTGAATGATTAGCCTCGAATTAATTATCAGATTTTGCATATTGTTGTAAATTTTAATAAGTATAATATTATAATTATTATGTGGAATGCATCATGAATATAGGTCCAAGGTCATCAACAATTTATTTTAAGATTCTTAAAATACATTCTTCTTTGCAATATTAAAATAGGTTAACTAAGCTGTTTTTTTCGTGGTTCGATACGTCCCCTCGTGCAACAAAGTTAAAAAAAAAGTCCGCGTTAATGTTATAAACATATTAAGAGCGCACTTTTCCTGTATATGTACACATGTAACTTCATACAACGAACACTTTAACATCGTGATTGGAAAACATCCAAGTATTATCAACAAGTCTAACCCTACATTGTAAAAATTTAAAAGAAAAAAAAGAAAAGTTACAAAATAACACGTTATATACAAAAGGATTAAGTATTTACGAAGAACATAATCGAGAATAAAAAAAACTCTTGCACGATAACAAAAAGCAAAATGTCTTAGCTTGACAAACATTCTGCCTTGTTGCGTGCGTGCGTGTTTGTAAACGACTATTTCGAAGTGCAATTTAATTTTAAGTAAAACTTGATTTTCCTTCAGATGAGGGGACATGCAATTTCATGCGGGGGCCGGTTAAAAGCACCAACGATGAGGTGCTTTGAAACGTTCACGGAGACCTGTCTAACAAGCTTCTCGATTCGGTGCCGCAACCTATGCTTGACACGTGCTTATCAACGTCACAAACGGGCAGCCAGTGCGCGATGATAACGCAGTTAGGGTGCGACCTAGGGGTGTAGTTTAGAACGCAAGTGAATACGTCCGAGTATCATCGTGTTGACATCTCTAATGGAGTTACCTGGGGGATTACTGATGATACGTGTTAGAACGAATCGTCAGAAGAGGGTTTATAGTAGAATTCAACTTCTGTATTTCATTATTATAATGATTGTTGAGTTGAAAGTTGAATATTTGTGTATAATTTTTAATTCATCGAAAAATTAACTATTAATTTTTAATTGTATAATTACAAATTATATAAGAAAAGAAGAATAAAATAATTTTGAAAGAATTAGATCGAATGAAATTTCATTTTCATTGATGAAAATGAACAAGCTGTTATACTAGATTATGAATAAATTAAAATCTCTATATAAATTTAAATATAGAGAGAAAGTAAAAGATTATAAATATCAAGTATAATTAAAAAAATAATTTTTCTGCATTGAAACTAAACAATAAAACCAACAGACATATGCTTTCATCCCCAAGGAGTGTTTTCAGGGTTTTAAGTAATATGAACATAATAATAACTTTAATATCGCGAAGTACTTCTCAGTATGACTCATGTGAACTCGTTTCACTACATCACACAACGAAATAACTTTCTGTCTCCACTTTCCATTACAATGGAAAAATTTTGATATTGATTTGCAAATATGAGCTTTTTATTTATCGATTTCTAAATTTAAAAAAGTTCTTTTATTCTAATTTTCTATATCGATTCAGTGCAAATATATTATCAATTTTTTCTCTAATCACATATTTAATATTTTTATTATTTATAAATTCCTATAATAATTTTTTTATTTATTCTTAAGAATAAATTTTATTTATTTTTTGTTTTATATATATCTAAATTCTAAATACAATATTTTAGAATATTGTTTCGGTACAATTTCAGATTTTAGAAATTTCGTTTCCTAATCGAAATGAATTGAAGATTGAAATTAGATTGCTTATTACAAAACTTTGTTCTATACGAATAACATAGTGAACCTATTCTATTAAATGAAATTCAACGAAGTTAAGTTTTAATGCAAAAGTCCCTATTACAGAACTTAAACAATACATATTCCGTTTTAATATGGAGCATAACAGAAATATATGCTCTAAAATAAAACTTTTTATAACCTCTTAACACATTTACATGCAACATTTAAGCATTCCTAATTGAATTTCTTTGATCATAACAAAATTTTTATATTAAATAATAATATAAAAAAGAATTTATTAAAAATAATATCACAAGCCATAAAAATAATTTAATCGTCTATTTATACCATGCTTAATATATTATATAGTACAAAAATTAAATAATTATTTTTAATCAAGCCAATCAGATTCCAATATAATATTATATGTATCATATATCCATATGATCAAAATAAATTCAATTTAATCCTTTTTTTTATATAATATGATGATTTTTTTCTATTAAGTTGCGATATATAGCTTATAAATATTTAGAAACTCGATAATTAAATAATCAATTAATTATGGAACAAAGACAAAATAACGATTAACCTAAAAAAACGATGTTTCGGCTCGGCAGACATGCCAACGAGCTCCATAGTAGTTACGGAGAGGATAAGCCAGACGACAGAGGCGCACGCGGCACCGGCGACTGACCGACAGACGGATCATCGTTCGAATCGAAGCCAATTATCGGCGTCGGCGGGTATTATCAATTGAATAAGAAACTCAATCCCCGCGACTAATCGACGGATATAAAGACATCGTTAATATTCGCAATAAAACAACATCCACGTCAAACATTAGTCGGAAAAATGAATAAGTTAGACAGGACTCTTACCTTTCCACGTCACGGCGAGGTGCACGCGAAATCCGACCACGCCATTCTCTCTCTCGAGCACAGCACCGCACTGCACCATATATATACACAAGAACACACTTCAACACATCTCCACCCCTCCCGGACAGCTTTCCTTTCGAATTTTTCTCTGCTGCTTTCGTATTCCCCTCGTTATTTGTCTATTTCTCTATCACCATCTTTGTTTCCCGATTTACCGGTCTCTCGTTGTTTCTTTCAGTATGGCTTTCCTTGTCAAATCCTTTTCACTGTCTCACTCTCTTTCTAACTCTCTC